AGACAGACTGTGGAGGTCAGAGGTTGACCACAATGTTTTCCTCAATGGTTTGCCACTTTATTTTTTGAGTCAAGGTGTTGTATAGGAAAGGCTACCTTCCTAGTTACCCGGCTGCCAGGAGTTCAGCTGGGCCTGCCCACAAAAGATCACCATTGACTGTTGATTCCCTCAGAGAAGAAAGGGATGGGAGGGTCATGGGACCTCACTTGAGTATCCAGACATCCCTCCCAACCAGTTGTATGCAGTTCTGCCCTAATTGAACATGGCCTCCACGTCTCTGGTAGGAGTTGTCGTATATAAGCAGCTGTGGGGAAACCATCATCCCTGCTGGGTTCCAGTCTTTCGTGGTGGTTACTTTAAGGTCACCTGTGTCCTGACCATAACCCCTTACCTAATAAACTCAAAGGTTCCCCACAGAGAACTCTGGTAGAATCTAACTGGTTTGTCACTGGGACCTTATAAGTAAGGGGTGGGCAGATGTTGCCTGGCCACCACCCCTGTCCTTATCCAGGGTGAAAACTCTCATGACACAGGATCTCTCACTGAAACTGGAGTTCCCAAATTTGACAAGACTGGTTGGCCGGCAAGCTCCATGGATCTTCCTGTCTTTGCCTCCCCAACACTGGAAATACAGGCATGCACCAACACCATCCCCATCTTTTTACTTGGATGCTGGGGATCTGTACTCAGGTCCTCATCCTTGGACAGCAAACACTTTACAGGCTGAGTCGTTTCCCTATCCTCTACAGTATTCTCAAGGGTTTAGGAATGAAACCCAAGGTCTTGGCCATGCCAGGCAAGTGTTGTACCACTGAACCACATTCCCAGTCACAAGGCACTTTAAAAATTCCATTTTGCAGATGGGGTTATATGCTCAGCCTTTGCTTTCTGGGGGTGGGTGAGTAATGAGAGGTGGCTTGTTCCGTTCCCCCTGTCCTGGTCCTCTGATTTCAGGACATCTTTACAAACACCAGAGTGAGGTCCCCCACGCATCTGGGCACACATTCTATGCTTGGCTGGTTACCCAATCTACTCTTTGGTGCCCATGCTGGCATTGCAAGCACACCACCACTATTTTTGCAGCAACACCTCTGGCTCACATCCTGTCATTACAAAGCACCCTAACTCCCTGATACACATGTTAGGATGAACAGATGCAGCCCCGTATTTTTAATGCATTATCTGCAATTAGTAGCAGCAGTGGGCATGGAAGAGATCAGTGGTCCCCAGGGCTGCCCTTCCCTGTTACAGCTGCAAGTACAGTTGTGCTAAAGAATCTGGCCAGGCGCCTCCATTCCAAACTTCCCTGTCAAGGGGGCAAAGGAATCTCCATTCACATAGCATCTCTGTCCCCGATTCCTGCTCCATTCCACTGATTACTTGTCCCCTCTGCCCTCTCAACACCCTGGCAGAATGTCCTCTACGGGAGCCCCAGAGTCAGGGTAGAGAGTTGCCCTGAGTGCCCTTGGGGAAAGAGGTTAGTCTGCGGGGTGAAGCTGAGATCTGTGATATGTTGACAGGTAAGTTCATGGAGAAGGTCAGCGTGTAGGAGAGAGCTCCTTGGGGCTTCCCAGCTCCCCTGTAGTAAACAGACCACTCACAAGCAGCATGTGGGGGCACTCACTGTGTCCTGCCTTCAAAATGCTCTGCAGGCCTTGTCCCATTGCATTCTAGACATGGTGTCCATGTACCCTTCCCCAGCTGGAGGCCTCCAGGAACCCAGTTAGGACAGGCTAACCTTTCATTGACAGTGAGAGGGAAGGAGAAGTTATGTCGCAGGAAACTCTGCGTGGCTAGGGAAGAAGAGGCTGGTAAGAGCTGTGGTTGGAAAGCTGAGCTTTACCATAGATCTGATGTGGTCAGGAGGCAGGTATAATAATTCCATGAATGACGATTTCCTGAATTGAACCCAGAGACTGAGAGATCGAAGCAAGACTAGAGCTGCAGCTGGCAGAGGGCAGAGGGCAGAGAGACAGCCATCACCTGCCTTGACCGTGGCTGACGGAGGGAGGGGTTGTTAGACTGTTTTTTATATTTTGAATAGCGTCCTTCTTTGCACCTGAGTTAAACGCTATCTAGAAAAGCTCTTAGGTTTGTCTTAATTAACCAGGGTCACAGAGTGGCCTCATCTGGATGACACCAAGGATTCCTGAGGGTCAACAAGAAATCCCCAAGGCCAGCTTGTAGGCACCTGGTGGCTCCCGCCCTACAAGGCCGGCAAGGGTTGGGCCACTGATGACTACTAAGATCTACTGCTCTCATTCTTGGTGTCTTGTGGCAGTAGAAGCATAGCCACATGAACCAAACTGTCCACATTCTCAGGGCAGAAAGTGCCGCGAAGATCTGAGAGATCTCGATACTCCAGTGGTACAAAAGCTGGCAGTGGGCTCGTGGGCATGGGATAGTTATGACAGGCAGGGCTGACCAGGACAGGAAGCAGTCGCTGGAGAGACGAGAAAGAACGTGGGGTCTGGAGGCAGACTCTCCATCACAGGAACTGTCCCTGACACTGAACAGCGATTTGGCCCTGGGCAATTTACTGAGTGTGATAGATTCGGTTTTCTCTTCTGCTTAATGGGGTCCCAAACTCTGCTTATGAGGTTTATCCTGAGATGAAAAAGAGACGTGCGATAAGGTACCTAAGCAGTTCCCAGTGGACAGACATGGTTCTCTACCTACAGCATACACATGTAACTCGCACAACAGTTTCACCAGGCAGTCTGTGATCACCTCTGGCCAACTGCTGAAAAGCTGGAGGCGCAGAGAGGTTAAAGCGATTGCCTGAGGTCACACAGCTATCAATCGGAGGAACTCAGACATTCTGGGTCTACCACTCTCACCCCACTGCCCCTTGTGGTAGCTGTGGGACTCCTCCTCACCCCGCAACACCAAATCATAAGCTTGCAGACTCTAGGCCATGTTTTGATGGTGATTCAATGCCCCAGAACGCCCCAGACCCCAGACTTTCTCTGGTTCAGAGAGCGTCCATTTCCTTTTGGAAGGTCAAAGCGTCCTTGGTGTGACAGATGATACAGAGTCAGGTCACTGCAGTCAATAGATCAAATAAAGCATAGTATTGCCCTGTCGGGATAGCCACGCCTTTCTGTGAGTATTAAAGTCAGAGAAAGCACTGGAAAGCGAGGAAGGGCTGAAGCGGGAGGGGCTGGCCAAATGCTATGCTTAGCCTTTGATTGGCAAGAGTGCTGTGTGGTCAGAAGGCAAAAGGTCGCTGAGAGGAAATGGGTCAGACGGGCAGGTTTCCTTCAATCCGGTCAAAGCAAGGAGCTGTCCAGAGTGCTGGGGCTCACAGGGCAGGGCGGACTCAGCAAGGCCTCTTTTCAACCTGTTGGGCTGGGTGCAGGGGTGTCTCAAGTTCTAGGTGAATAGAAGATGAAGGACTCCAGGAACTGCAGTCTCCTCTCCCAGACTCCTCTAGCCCTCTGCACAGCCCCACGAGGGAGCTGGGGACCTGGAGCTCAATCACACCACAGCTCTCTTTGCTACCTGGTACAATCCCAGACTCATCACCATCAACCTCTTCTAGGCTCATCTGCTCTTAATTATATCTCTAAATCCCAGGGCATTACCACTCTGAGAACTAGGGGAACGTGGCTACTTAGAGGATTCCGAATAATCACAAGGATTCTCTTCCGCAGACCTTCAAAGCCACACAGACAACACAGTCGTTGTGAGGACACCCAGGGATGGCTCTCAAGCTCCTGTCACAGAGTACCGGGTTGTTATTCTGCATTATTTAGTTTAGTTCAAGGAGGTTGATGCAAAGAACAGTTTTCTCTATCACCTCCTGAGGGAGCTCAAAGGGAAAACAGAGTTTAGGCCGATGTGGAAGCTTTGCTGGCCCAGCCTAAGCCCTTTCTGGGGACTCTTCTTCTCCCTGACAAGCTATCACTGAGGAGACGGATTCCTGCAGTTCTGCATGCACCTGCTGAGCGCATATGCCTCTTCCTAGCATGAGCTGATTGGACAAGTCATGGATATCAGCTGAGGAGGGGAGGCATTCAGATTCTCTCTCTTGGTGATTTGAATCGAAAATTCAGGAACAGTACCAGTTAGTGCGGTCCCTAGAGCTAGGAAGTCAGGCAGACCCAGGGGCTGAAGTGACCATTTGGGATATGTGCAAAGGGGAGGGAAGAACCTGGGTAAAAACTAAGGTTGTTCTCCAGCACTTCCTGTCCTGTATAATTGTTCAGCCTCTCCCCACCCCTCTAAAGCCAGGAGCCATCCTGTGAGGTCAAAGTCACATGAAGGCGAGCATTGGAATAAACAGAATTTGTTTTTCTCAGACACATCAGGACTTCTCCTGAGCTTCAGTGGATGAGAACTACACACCCTGGGTGCTCATACACGAGACAGAAGCAACCCCACTTTCCACCTAATGATGGAGATGATTGAGAGTAGGGTGGGAAACCTGCGTGCAATGCCCTTCCTGAGATGCCCCCCCCCACTGCCGCCCCTGACTTGAATCAGATGCCAACATAGGCCTCCCCGGAGCCTCAATCCTGTTGAGCAAGGCTGTCTGTGACCTCCCCAGCTTGACAGAAGGGCAGAGCAAAGGCCCTGCCGAGGAGCCATTGTTAGGACACAGCACAGCCACCTGCTCCTGCATTGATCCAACAGTGAGGAGTGAAAGCAAGAGACAGAGGCCCAGGGAGCAGCGCCATCAGATGCACGATCCTCATTGATCGGCCTACCTGCTGTCCAGACTGTGTGGGAAAGCCTCAGAAGGTCAGAGCTGCAAAGGCACCTGAAGGGAGCCCCTGGGATGGCACAGAATCATCACAAATGGGACAAGCCAGCCCCCACAAGCACTACTGAGCTGTGACCTTTCCAACCTCAATCAAGAGACTCCCAGTGGCTCCACTGTTTAGGGGACAGTCATGTGGAGAGAAGAAGCTGGTGATTTGAATCCTTGTGGTTAACACGGGGAGGACAGCAGGCGACATGCACACTCACGGGACAGAGTAGGACCATAGCAGAAGCTCTCGGAATTAAAGAAAAAGACACCTTCTTACCCTCAGAGTAGCAATGTGCTCTCACTAGTCCAGGACCTCCCTCCTCCCTGCTTTGTGGGACCTCCCCCCCCCCAGTACAGTGCAATTTTAGACTCTGTTCAGCTTGGGGGTCCCAAGGACAGTGTGTGAGGATATTGAGGTCCTTGAGGTCTCAAGGACATATGGCTACTAGGATACTGTCCACCCTCACTCAGCACATTTTCAGGTCAATCTATCCTGTCCCAGTGCCATGAGCCTCAGTTGACAATTCAGAAGAAGGCCCCTCCCCTGAGGTCAAGTGGCATCAGCTGCCTGCTGCCCTATCTATAGGAGCATAAAATGTCGCTCACAGGGCTCCTGCCCTTGGGAGGCAAGCCACCGCACCTGACTGTGGCCCAAGTGCCTAGCTGGTCTACATCAATCTCTCTATTCTCTTCAAGTCCCTGGTCCCCCATTCCTGCTACCCCAGGGCTAGGAGCCCATTGAAACTCACTCTGGGTAGGCAGGGCTGAGGCCCATCTACTCCATGGACTGGGGGTTTTCCCTCTCTATTTCTATCAACTCATTTCTAGTCCCATACACATCTGAGTCGTGTGCTCTCCTGGTTCCTATAGCTTTGCTTCCCCAGACACTGGTGAGAGTACATCTTGCCTCATCTCCTTGGATGGCTACCTTGGAGAACTGGTCTACCCCCAAAGTCCACTGCTGTGAGCTCCACCATGAGCCTGGGCACCAGCTTTAGAGGAAGAAAAAACTGGCTTGGAATTCCATACACACCACTGGTTTACTGTGTGAACTTAGGTGAGCTACCTGACCCCGCCCTTTCAGAAAGGGATGTTAAAACTGCTCAACATGATGGGGATTAAGTAAATGAGAACAGGAGATATTGGCCATGAAGAGCCCAGCACAGTGACTCACACCTAACACTAATATGTGAGCATCCGCCCAGGGCTTACACATTGATGTTCAATTCTGTGCAAAGTGCTTTGCAAGTGTCATCTTATTTAATCTGCACAACAATCCTGTGAGAGCCCATTATCCCGCATTTTGAAATGAGGAATTGTGGAGGCTTGAAAGGTTAAGTCAATTGCTTAGGCTCGGTGGCTGGTCAGTAGTTGAACAAGCACTGGTGGTGACCTCATGGAGACCAAAGATGATGATTTATCTAGTTCAATGTCATAGCACAACACCTATTAAATAGAAGGACCCCAAAAGATATATGTTGAGAGGCTACATGGGCCCTGAGTCAGGGGGTCCTTCTGCATAGCTGGACTGGAGACACAGCTCTTCCCACTTAATGGTTTCCCTGTTCTTATTCATCAGGGGAGCTACACTGTGGTTCTTTCTCTGCTATAATTTTGTTCTTCCCCTTAGTATGGCTATTACTGGATCTTTTCAAATGTTTATTTCTTTATTTTGTAGGGGGAGGGGGGCTCATGCAAACCATGGCACACATGTGGAGGACAGAGGACAACCTTTGGGAGTTGGTCCTCCCCTACCTTTTTGAGGCAGGGTCTCTTTTGTTTCGGTCACTGTGCTGAGCAATCCAGGATACCCTAGCCTTCATTTCTGGTCATTTCTGGCCATTTTTTGTTTTCTGTCTCCATCACCATGCATGCCACCCATCTGGCTTTTTATGTGGGTTCCAGTGATCAAACTGAGGTTGTCAGGCTTGAAGCCACAGTGATTTCACCTGCTGGCCCATCTCCCTGGCCCTGCTATGGAATGACTGGGTCTGTTGATATGTTCAAACTGTCGATCTCAATGAACACATTTCCTTACCACCTACTCTTTAATCAGAGATTAGGTAACTGCAGTTTACAGATTCAGCACTTTGGACAGAGCTAGTGTGTGTGTGTGTGTGTGTGTGTGTGTGTGTGTGTGTGTGTGTACATGCTAATGTAGTCAGTATTGGATCTGCATTCTAAGACTGC